GCCTGTTAGATTCACCTTAAAATTAAGTATCCCTGTTTACATTTCAGAACAAAACACAAAACCTATCATGATGTGATTCCCATCTCCTGCCTTACCGAGTTTCCCAATGTGATCCAGATGGCAAAGGTAGATGATTGCTTTCATACTGAATTAGCGATTTGTTTTCCATTCTTATTCAAAATGGATGAAAAACGTGTTTGTTTCTCTTATTTTGCAGCTTGTTTGTGAAGAGGTAAACGTGGATAGGTTTTACCCCGTCCTCTATCCAAAGGTAGACTCCTGTGCTTTTTTTTCTTTTCCTGGTCCCTGTCATCCATCAACTCTATATCATCATGTCCACATCAGGGACTCCTTCTTTTTTTACTCCTCAGGCATCAAGACTCATTGTCACCTTTGATGAGTATGTAATCAGCAACAACTTCAAGTTTGGAGTCATTTATCAAAAGTTTGGCCAGGTGAGAACATTTTTAGAGATACTCCAGCTAATCTCTGCTTTCACACTCGTGTGTCAGACTCCCGGAAAGTGTTTTCTGCTTGCAGACATCTGAGGAGGAGCTGTTTGGGAACATGGAAGAAAGTCAAGCGTTTGTTGAGTTCCTGGAGTTTTTAGGCACAAAGATTGAGCTTCATGACTTTAAAGGGTTTGAGATTTTTTTTTTTCACTTGAATCCTTTTATACTCTGTTTAATGTCTATAGCAGGTTATCAGCCACACAGCAGCTGTATGGAGATATATTTAACTGAATCAGAAAAATGAAAGAGAGTTATGATATTCTATGTGGTAGATGTGGTAATATCTTAATTGAGTTGGAAGAATAAGTACTCAATTATTCCTAATTGTTGAATAATGATTATAGGTCAAGAGCTCTGCTAACAGTATTTCCTCTAATCTGCCCTCTCAACTTTTCTTCTAGCCTTTTAAACCAAATACTTGTTATTCTCAATCATATTTTCTTCTTAATTTGATTCCATACTTATCTGTTGCTTCTCCAGTTTTCGAGGTGGACTTGATGTCACTCACGGGCAGACGGGGACTGAATCTGTCTACACAAATTTCCATAATAAGGAGATTATGTTTCATGTTTCCACCAAGCTGCCTTATACGGAAGGAGACTCACAGCAGGTAGAGAACAGTTCTAGTTATTTGTCTTTCCGATTCGGATATGGGAAATTTTTCTTGTTGCTCTGCTCTGGGTTGTAGACAGATTGAATGTGTTTCCATTTGTTTCTTCTATGCTTTTCTTAATAGGAATAAAAAAGCTAAATAGGGACAGGAGGAAAAAACAAAAACATTTAGAAAAAATTCAATTATCTTGATTTTATTGGTGCAGAAAATTTATACTTTGGATCAGCTAAGCAATTAGCCAAAGTTAGGCCATTATATTGAAAGCAAAAACAAATCAGCTGTGAAATATTTTACCATTATTAATCTTTAAGAAGAACATATCTTTGCTCACAGAATAGACAGACCTAAACTGCAAGTTTTCCTATTTTTCCTTATTTTTTTTCCTTATTACAGTTTTTAATTTCCAATTACTAATGCACACCTAACTTAAGTGTTTGCCCGTTATTTTGAAGTTTAACTGGCTCATAACATTTCACAGTTATTTCATAATCATTTTCACACAATTAAGTACATTTGTTTATGTAATAGGATCACTAAACGAGTGCCTGATCTGGTCTGAGGTTATTTTATTTCTTTGGCGATGGCTGAAGTTTTCCACATCACTACCCATCCACTACTCTGCTAAACTCTACTCTTGATAAACTGTTTGGATGTTATAAATACACTATACTCTTCTCTGTTTCTGTTTAATATATCATATTTACTTTTCAATTTGGTTGCTAAGTCCCTCTAAAGAAAGCCTTCAAGAGAAAAAAAAAAATATTACCATCTCATTTGCTTTTAGTGTATACTCCTACAAACTACAAAAACTGGTCTAAATAAAATTAAAAATTCCCAAAATAAGTTTAATCGCCAATAATTTAAGCAGGTAAGTACGATTATCTGCCAATGGCAAGAGTATTATTGCTCTTAAGATCGCTTTTAAGACATTAAGCACTTATAATATTTGCCCATTAACCAGCGCAAATCAAGGGATAATACACTTATTTAAAGAATAAATGTTTATTTTTTTTAATTTATTTTTTTCTTTGTTTAAAATGTCTCATAATAATTGCAGTAATTTCTAAATCTATGAGTATTGATGTTAAATAATGACAAGGCTGTCATTATTGACCAAAATAACTTCAGGTCTCCCTTTTTCTGTCATCAAACAGCCATCTGGCTGCTTTCAGCTTCTTTAAGATGAATTTTATAAAATTCATCCAAGTTTTACTGAGACCGGTTATTCTTTCTGCGACCCCCCTTCCTAAAGGCCATAATTGTCTTCTAATTTTGGCGTTATGACCTTTGAAATTCTGAAGCAAATGATTTTGCTTCATGTTCTTTTGAACATGCTAGTACATAAATTTCTTGGACACCAGTGTTGAAAGTTGTGGACATTTTAAGAACCCTGAGCTGCATTTCTATTTACACAGCCTTTGTAGACCGATAGGCAGCAACAATTAAATACCTCAGATTATATCTGGAGGCTTAAATTATTGGCATTGCATAAACAGACATCTGAATAATGCATATCAGCAAACAAGTCAAGCCTTACCCCTTGCTCACACTGGCTCCGGTGCAGTTACCGAGCCGACGGATAGATGCGCTCACATCTGCTGCTAATCATTTTAACTGAGTGCCTTTAAATTAGCAACACCTGGCTGCCAATTATCCAGCTAATTCACAAAGAAGGTCAACCTCCAACCTGCATTTCACTGAGCAAATGGTCAACTGTTTTGTTAACCCGGCAGGTAAAGGGTTAAAGCAAAAATAACGTTGATTAATTTATAATTATGTAGGTGAGTGGTAAATATATGTATTTAAGAAGTAAAATGTGTGACCGTGAGACAACATATTTAATGCGGAGGAGGTGTTAGTTTGTTCTATAGCTCTCACACCCAGTTATAGCTCAGGCTTTATGTTGTGCTGAATGCTGACAGCGGCGTCACATGCAGGAGTTTGCCCTGCAGCGACAGGGTTGATGGTTCTGGCTTTTGTTGTTGCTGTGTCCTGGGTTAAAACACTTCACCCACATTGTCCAGTGGCGCCTCTATAGGTCCCCTCGCTTTTGTCAGTGACCCCCAGGACTTTGCCACCAATGTATGGGTGAATGTAGTGTAAACCACTTTGGTCATTTACCATAAGAATTTGGAGAAGACAATTGATGCTGCTTTTGAATGGCTGCACGAGCCCCGGATCACATATGAATAAAAAAGAATTTCAACTTAGCAATAAAAAAAAATAAAAAAAACACCTGTGTCCTGCTTTAGGAGGAACCCCTCAGTCATTGTGGTCTGCATACCAGCACTCATTAATAAAGTCTACAATCCTATGTGTCAAGAAACAAAAAATCATCTGAATATCCATCCATCCATCCATCCATCCATCCATTTTCCGTCACGCTTATCCCAGCTGGGGTCACGATGGGTTTTGGATCTCCAGCTGTCTACATGTAAGAGGCAGGATACACCCTGGACAGCAGTGCATCCCACTGTGCCACTGAGCATCCCTCATCTGAATTTAAAACTTAATAAATAATTAAAATATGTATGAAGATCATTCAAACTGTGGAAAGGCAGACACGTTTGCTTAAACACAAATAATTTGATCTTTTTTTTATGTATAGTGGAGGATTTTAGCAAATTTTTTTAAAAGACCCACCCTCCCCACTTTAAACGCTCTGTTCAAAAGTTGCTGTTTGCATCGCTCATACAAGCTTACTTTCTAAAAGAAGATTTGCAATTTTTCCACTATGTCAGACTCACCAACCATAATTAATTATGGAGATGAGCACGTAAGACGGCTTTACGTAAACATATCACCAGCATGATTGACAGTTAGGAGGACCACTTAATTTGATGATCCACCCGGAAAAAGGCCATCCTCCACTATACCTTTAAGTAGTTTGTAGAGTAAATAAAAGATCAGTTGTATCAGAAACAAACTGGGGTAATGGGTGTTTCCTCTACAAAAACAATTTTCACTAGACTTTACTGCCACTCCCCCTCCTTTTTTTTTTCACTGCTTTCACTCACGTGAAAGGATATTACAAGGGTAAGAAGTCCCACATACAGATAAAGTACTTTTTTATTTACCAGAAACTTAATGGTTGGGCAACAAAGAAAAAAAAATGTAGCTACCTTTTTTTTTTTGTTGATACAGAAGAAATCACATGAGTGAGTTGCCTTCAGCCAAACCTCTTTGTGAACCTTCGCTGTAATAAATTTTAAACCATTCACATTGTTTGCAAACTTTTTGGCAAATGTGAGAGTAAATCCTTCATTGAAGTAATATTTTGGGGTTTTAAAATATTTATGTTCTGAGGCACAAAAAACAAAAACAAAATAAACATAATAGCCAAAGCCTCTGCAGATCATAAACAATGTTTTATAAAATAAAAACCCTCCTCCGCTCTATCAGAATCCATTTCTCGGGGTGTGTTGATTAAATGTTGGTAATGTTGCAAACTTCCTCTAAATTTAAAGAACCCTTCTAGAGCCGTCTCTTCTCTTGCCTCAGAACTGGTGATAACGTTTACCAAATCCTTTTTCGAATATTTGACAGTTTAAACGTTTCTTTGTGTTTGCAGTAATCCGTATATACTGTAAGCTAATGCAATGTCCTTTTTTGTAAAAAAGAAATAGTTTTATTGCTAAATATTCACAGCTTTTAATTGAAAGGCTCTGTTCCTCATTCTCAGCTGCTGAGTGAGAGAACATCTGACTACTCAGCGTTAACGACCCTGTGAAACAGCGAGTTCATAAAGTGCATGTACAGTAAAAGCCTCCTGACCTTAAACACAACAGTTACCTGCTTGTGGTTATAAAAGTTGGCCCCTGTAATGCCAACAGCTCTCATACAGCTTTAAAATGATAATCAGTATGTATATTTTAACAACTAAAAAAGTTCTGTACAAAAAAATGCAGCTTATCCTAATCATCTCCTTTAATAACACGGTTTAAATAATTTCATTATTGCAACTAAATGCTTCCACTCAAAGCTAGTTCAAATTGATTACTATATTTAAAGACTCTTGCATTGCCTTCTTTGATCCCCGTGACACCAGAGAAATATGAAGAGTCATAAAGACATTGCTGCTAAACAAACTCTGTTACAAATGTTTTGTCTTATAGTCATAGTTCTCCTTTTGCTGTTGTTTAGGAATATTAATGCAGGGCTATCTTCTTCCCGCGTTGCAGTTAATCCTCTGGTGGTTTCTGGCTGAAGACTCATCGCTTTGATTATGTTTTTGTAAACTGCCGCATTTGTTCTCAGTAGCTCTTTAGTGCCGTAAGTGGTTTGAACTTTGTTACCAAAGTAACCCTGCACAGTTGGTTCATAAAGGCAAGACATGGAGACAAACAGAGGACATAAACACGGCCCACATGGGATGATTCATCAGGGAACAGAGAAAAGGAGGCAGTGTGCACACATAGCCTTTATTCTGGAAGGAAAATAGGCTGAATTTATCCTGAGCTAAGATTCAATTTAATTTATTTCAGTTTATGTATATTGCATCAATTCACAACACGTCATCTCAAGGCACTTTACAGTTCAACCAGATCATCCAGTCAAATTAATTCTAAGTTTTCTATCTAAGGAAAACCAGTAGATTGCATCGACTCATTGACTCAGATGCAATCCCTCACACTAAGCATGCTTGTAGTGACAGTGGAAAGAAAAAACTCCCTTTTAACAGGAAGAAACCTCCAGCAGATCACATCTATTCTGGCTGTTAATCTGTATGGAGAAAATGGGCTCAGAGAGTGTATGAAGCACTTTCGACATTAAGGGATGAACTGCAGTAACCTGGCTACCCTGTATTTACAGCAATATGGAGTTTCTAATTGTCTCAGAAATATATGACCATTATCTAACAATAAATAAGCAAAACTTTACTACTCTTTTCCTCCTGCCAAAGAATCAAGTGTGTGTGTGTGTATGTGTATGTGATGTTTACAACCATTATCTGACACGCTTATCCCGAGTGCGGATGCAAGATATTTAAATACAATTATATTTAAATACAATAATCTGTCTTCAACATGGCTGTGCCATATGGTCAAGAACAGGACAGATGGACCGAGTATTCAAGGTGAGACAGACAGTGGGAAGGTTCAAAACGGATCTGCCGACCACAGCAGCTGCAGGGCAGGGCACCGCCCAATCACTGACTCTCTGGAGGGAGAAAGACAGGACAGTGACCATGATCATCTGACGGGGGATGATTATCTGTGTGAGTCACTTACCTGGTTTAATAGTTCAGTTCATCCTCTCCGAGGAAGGCAGGATCCAGCAGATGGACAGCCAAATGAGTTGCGGCGCAGAGCCGCCCAAAGTGTCCCCATTGCAGCAACCTCAGTGAGTAGGCCAGAATCCGATCCAGGTCAGGGAAAACAGATCAGACAGGAAAGTTCTGGAATCCAGGAGTCGGCAGCCCGGCCAGGGGCCCCGATCCACACAGGTACAGAAAGATCCAGGGTTACAGGAATCCACAGAGCATGAAGGCAGGTACAGAGTTACATGAGTCGAGCAATGAGCTCAGACAGAAATGCACAGATGCAGACAGGCAGGCTCAGTGGTTGAGGGACAGAGACAAGACATGGTACCAGGATAACTGCGAAGCTTTAAACTGGTCTCCACCTAGAAGCCAGGATTAGGGGACTTTAAACTAGCTTCTCCTTTGCCGAGCTAAAACAGGAACAGATAGTGCTCAGAGGGAAAGAGTCAGGAGACGATCAGGAGACAAGACAAACACGAACCGTGGAATAACAAAAACTAGCGAAACAAACATCAAAACAATGATCTGGCCCCGATAGCTGGGCTGAGCTGAATATAAAGCATTAGACACAGGTGGATAACATGGGGAATGATTAGGAACTGGGCAGAGTTAGGCAGGTAAATGAGGTAAACAATTAAGGTCGGCTAACAGGGCAGATCATGACACATATTGCCACAATACTGTTTGCTAATATTAACTGCAGTCAAAAGAAAAAACATAAAGCTTAAACTTTCAACTAAGTATAATATTTAAAAGCGTATTTACTGTAAACATTTCATTAGGTCAAAGACTCTGTCTGCCAGAACCCATTTCTGGTTTATAAATGTCTGTTTCTGCTTTCTGAATGTCTGACTTCAGCACTTTCTGGAAACTTCCCAGGTTTGAAACCAGATGGCTGCTTATTCACAGCATAACAAATAGGCAGGCTATAAAGTGACTGAACTGTTTCTGGAAAAGCAAATGCCATCATCATCTCTTAATCATAGAGTAAATATTGGCTCTTTTGGGGTGAATAACAAACTTGCCTTCTTGTGAGACATGTTTCAAGAGCTTATAGTAATATCAGTTAGTAATATATTATATACACTTAGAATAATTTATTTAATTTACATTTAGAAGACAATGTGTAAAGTACATTTCCCTGTACTTGGCTGGACTCTCCTGTAAAACGTCTTTTTTATACTGAATTAAGATCCTTTATCTAAAAAGACAACCGGAGTACAGACAGACGGAGATGTTGAGCAATAATACTAAAACAGGCTGTGGCTCGCTAACAATACTCATTTGGTACTAATGGTTCCAAAGTGAGCCAAGAAAGATTACCTTGCAACCCTAACAGCCTAATCTGTTGATAGAATAGATGGATCAGATCGGCTGTTCTAGACTCAGAAGAGCCCCTCTTACACCAACAGAGCTGCCAAGTTTTACATCTCCTTTTTGAAGCCATTCTGATGCCCTCAATGAACTTCAGCAAGTCATCTTGATCACATCTAGTTGCATAATTGCATTGAGTTGCTGCTATATGAGAAGCAGATTCCCTATTTTTGAGCATAATGAATTAGACAGGCGTATTCAAAAAGAAGCCTTTGAGTATATGTGATAAAGCTTCATTTGATAGTTGTGTTTAAATGGGAAATAGCTCTAGGGAGGATTGAAGATTAATGTCTTATGTGGAACTTCAGAATGTGGGGGCTTTTTCATTTAGGAGCCATTTCTCTATATCTATATCTTTTGACATCTGCTGTCACTTCTTCCAAAATGTATGTCAAATTCATTTGGTTTGAAATTTTGCAATATTGCATATTCTTACTCCATTTACATGATAAAAAGGACAAAAATGATAACAAATGTTACGCTAGTCTCAATTTAAACATAAAACTACATATTAACCATGTAATGCAATGCATATGCTTTGAATGATCTCAGTGCATGGCTGCAAAATGCACCTAAACTTGTCTTGCTTGGCCCAATTTTGTTTAAAGGAAGGTTTTTGCACCCGCTCAATCTCTAAACCCGCTCCAATCTTTTTAACACACTGGAAAAAATGTAAATCTAGATAAGTAATTTTTTTCTTAAAACAAGTGTTTTTTTTTCTTGGATTTAGTGCATTTTATCTAAATATCTTATTTTAAGAGTAAAAATACTAATTCCATTCAAACTCATTTACCTACTCAAATTAAGGGTAAATACCCTTAATTTAAGACATATTTGCTTATTTCTAGATCATTTTTTTAGTGCAGATGAAAAGTTGAAAGCTGTAAAATAAATATTTCAGTGAGATAAACTACAATCTATTTTAAATCCTTACATCTACCATCTTTACATAGTGATTATATTTAGTTTAGTTAATTCTTTGCGATAGTTTTCAACATGCTGTCACTAATTAAAGAAATAAAAACTCTCATACTGGATAAATTATTCCTGTGGTTCCCAAAAATTGTTAATTTCAGACCCGCAAAATAGTACCAGAATGCTGTCATGACCCAAACTATTGGTTGGAATAGAAAAAGAGGAACATTTATCAATAGCCTCAAAGGGGATAAAAACCAATGTATTTGGTTTTGTTGTTTTTTTCTTTACATAAATTTCAGCATTATATTGAGGTAATGTGTAAAGCTGTGTAATATATTTTTTTGCCATTTTTCAGACAAAAGAGTATAAGTTCAGTTTAATTTAATATTGGTCTCTCAAGAAATTATGCTTGTTGATCCATGACCCCAATTAGGGTCACAACCACAACTTCTTGAATCAATAATTTATTCCGCTGTTTTCCACCACTTTCTCTGCAGTTACACTGCGCCATCCACATGGGGAATCATTGCACTAATGAATCGGCCAGTATAGGCACACATTGGCCCATTCATTAATGAGCCAATATGGGCCAAAAATATTATCTGGCCGATGCATCTTTGTGTCTAATATGAAGAGATTTGGATCTGCACTCAAACCTAGATTAAACTTTTTGATCTTGGGGAAAAAATATATATCTGGAACAAGTACAAATGTGACACTCCAAACTGAAATCAACATAAATTTTAGATAGAAAGAGATGCAGACATCTCCTCTGATATTTATGTAAGCTTCCAAGCCCACTAAATTAGAATATCTTGCAAAAGGCATTAAGGTGACAACATGCATCCATATTTCAGCACAAAAGAATGTGTCCCTATTGCCTAGCAGCACCAAGATTGCCTGGATAAAAAATTTATACTTAGCATGGGCGCTGTGTCCTCCAAATGCATGAGTGTCCTTTTGGCAACTTAAAGCTTTCTGGCAACAAGGAGAATGTAGTAGGCTACTACAGCAGCAGTGATAACAGTCAGCCATCTGTGGGGGCTTGATTCTTTAGTTTTTGTTTTATTTTCCAGCTTGTTCATATCTATGATGTCATTTCTTCAACACTTACGGATAACAAATGGAAAATAAATATGTGTTCAACATATTATGCTTTGATTTGTTTTTTTTCTTTAATTCTTTTGGAAAGTATCTGCAAATCAGTATGAGATGGAAGAGTATTAATATGTTGGACTGAAAAACTGAATTATGTATGAGAAAGGCCTTTGTGTTGCCCGGTTATATTAATCTCTTTAGGAACCTGTAAGTATTCTCTTTCAGGCAATCTTTAAATGGATGTAGAAAGGAAGGCTGAAACACTGCTGTTTTTCTACATTGCAAACAATGTACAAAAAAAACATTTTTTCTTAAAACAAGGGATCTTTTTTCTTGAGTTGAGGAAGTAAATGAGACACCTTGTGATTGGAACAAGACAAAAAAATGAAAATTGCTTTGTCTTATTTCAAGTCCATGTTATCTAGTTATCTTGTTTTAAGTGTAAAAATACTCATTATATTGGAAAATCATCTTATTTACCTACACAAATTAAAGGTAAATACTCATAATTTAAGATATTTTTTCAAATTTCTTGATAGTTTTTGCAGATTAATGGTAAGATTGCTGTATTTTTTTTATGCTTCCGTTACTAACATTCTATACCTTTGACCGCCCCTCAGCTTCAGAGGAAGAGGCACATAGGCAACGACATTGTGGCAATCGTGTTCCAGGAAGAAAACACTCCCTTTGTACCAGACATGATCCAATCCAACTTCCTGCATGCCTACGTGGTGGTGCAGGTGGAGAATGCATGCACCGACAACGTCACATACAAGGTTGGTTCCTCTGATTGACGTTTCCTATTAAAGAACTTTGATGCATATCTGGTGAAGAAGTTTTAGATTTACTCACTACCACTATGATGTTTGACTTTCTTTACAATATTCAGTTTCTGAAACCCCCCTCTAGCTTCACATCTGATAAAAACAAACCTCACACCATCCAAAAATTCAAATTTAGTGT